ATCATTTTGAGATGTTAAGTCTTTTTTTTATATATTAGGTCATTGTTTTGAGATGTTAAGTCAATTTTTTGAGAAAATAGGTCATTGTCTTGAAATACTAAGTCAAAAGTTCAAGAAATTGTCATTATTTTGACATATTACCTCAATATTTTGAGAAAAAAGGTCAATATATGGACAAGTCAAACTTTCAAGAAAATAAGTCATTATTCTGAGTTATTAAGACATTATTTTGAGATAAGTCATCATTTTGAGATGTTAAGTCAAAATTTCAATAAACTAAGTCATTATTTCTAAATAGTTGGTTGATTTTGAGATATTAAGTCAATAGTTTGAGAAAAAAATTGTCATCATTTTGAGATAGTAAGTCAATTTTGTAGATAATAGGTCATTATTTTAAGATATTAAACCAACATTTTGAGAAAATAGGTTATTATTTTAACGTACTAAGTCAATATTTTGATAAAATGTGTCATTATTTTGTGATACTAAGTCAAAAGTTCAAGAAAATGCCATTTCGACATATTAACTTAATATTTTGAGAGAATAGGTCATTGTTTTGAGATGCTAAGTCAAGCTTTCAAGAAAATAAGTCATTATTTCAAGATATTAAGTCGATACTTTGAGAAAATAGGTCATTATTTGGAGATATTAAAACATTATTTTGAGATAGCGTTTTTTTTCAGGAAAAATGTCATTGTCTTGAGATGTTTTGAGATATTAAGTCATTATTTTAAGATAGTGAGTCATAAATAAAAAACAAGTAAGTATTTACAAGATATTAAGTTGATATTTTGGGGGAAAAAGTCATTTTAAGATATTAAGTCAATATTTTGAAATAAGAAGCCATTATTTTGAGATATTAAGTAAGTATTTCAAGAAAATTAAGTTGATTAGCTGGACATACTGGTCAGTATGGATGCATGTCTGTCAGTAAATAATAACAGCATCATCCAAGCCAGAGTATAAATAGTGCTTTATATTTAGAAAAAGTAAATGTGGGGGAGCCGGTTTGAATGGACCTGATACAGCTGATAAAATTAATAATAGCATTATCTATCATTTTTCAGGCCCTGTGCTAAAGTTTGTCAGTAATTATGTTAATGTTAATATTCACTTTTCTTCAATATTCTAGAGAAAATATATTCTTCAATAAATATTGTTTGTACCTCATTCTGTTCTGTTCAGATCTACTTATTCTCAGAGTGACAGATGGATCCTGGTTTAAAGGGGGGAGGACTGTAGTGGGAGCACTGGGGTGTCAGGTGTGGCAGTGTGGTTCCCATGGCTCAGGGGTCAGGTAGGAGGACCCTCTTTGCAGAATTGTGCTGAGAGGGAGGACAGAACCGGCTCTGAACTCAGCACTTCAGTAGTTTTTTGACTGACACTTCTGTTGTTTTTTGGTACTTTTTCTTCTGTATTTTACTGTTATTTTAGTATTAGTGCTTTTACTGGAGTTTGTGTTTCGGCTGCTCTGCCCTCCCAGTTCTTGGGTACTGATGTGATCTCAAACACACGCAGCGGTTCTCACAAACACATTTAAGTTCCAGCAAAAGAACAATAGTTGTGCTGTGAGACTGAACGAAGCTCAGCACCTGCTGAGGCTTCCAGTGAACAAATTACACTGAAACAGCTTAAAGCAGCTTCCTCCAGAGAGCACGATGACTTCCATCTGTGCACTACACGCTCAGAAACATGGTTCTTCAAGGGTTCTTTAGTAACCCATTTGGTCTGTATAGTACGATGAACACCTAAAGAGCCGTTTGTATGATTAAAGGGTTCTTCGTATCATGAAAACAACCTATTATCAAGTGAAAACATCTTAAATGTAGCCAATAAATCTAATATTTCTCATTGCGAGAATATTATGAGATTATTCCACCTGTTTCTGTACATTGTTGCTTGTTGTGAGTAAGTTTATCCAGCGAAAGTGTTTCACTCCATTGGCAGATTGTTTTACTTGTTTTAAGAAATATTGAAGATAATTTTGTTTATTTCAAGAAAGATGCCAACGGAAAAAGACATTATTATTAAGTAAAATATATTTAAAAATATGTCTGAAAAGAAGTTAAAATGTGGACAAAAACTAAAAAAATAACTCTTGTTTGTGCACTTTTAACACAGAGATCGAAAAAATGCAAACAAAATGAACAATTTTTAAATACTGCACAGTAGCCTATTTATTTATTTATTTATTTATTTATTTATTTAAATGCGCCGTTACTGTTTGTTTACTGAATTTAAACCATTGGAGAAAAACAATAAAATGTCATGTTTAGTGTGTTAAACTCAGCAAATAAACAGAAATTGTGCACTAAAATGTGCAGAAAAGTGTGTGTTAACTTATTTTACTTAAAAATCAACAATATCATGGATATTATACTGTTTCTCAAAACAACTAAAACACTTTTCCACTGTAATAAGACACTTTTACTAGATAAAATCCATCAAAACAAGCAGAAACATACAGAAAAAGGTGGAATAATTGTATAATATTCTTATAGCCGCCTCATAATGAGAAGTATTAGACATATTGACTACATTTAACTTATAATATTTAATTGAGATGTTGTTTTTTTACAGTGTAGTAAGGTGCGCCTGCTGGGTGGGGAACCGAACCCCTGTATTGTACTGTATTGTACTGTATTGTACTGTGCTATACAGTATTATACAGTATTATACTGTGCTGTACTCTATTATACTGTATTATACTGTTTTATACACACATATAGGCCTTTAACCTGGCAGAAAGAGAGGTGAGCCATCAACCGGAAGGTTGTGGGTTCAAATCTCATGACTGACCAGGTATATCTGGTTGTGCCCCTGGGCAAGGCCCCAGGTGGCGCTGTGCTGTTTCCAGAATGGGCATAGTTAAGCAGCAAAGTGACAAATTTCCCTCGCAGGACCAATAAAGTACATCATACTGTATTATACTGTATTATACTGTATCTGAGTGCATGGCAGTAATGGTAGCAGGTTGCTAATTGTGACTCTCTCTCTCTCTCTCTCTCTCTCTCTCTGTCTCTCTCTCTGTCTCTCTCTCTCTCTCTCTCTCTCTCCCTGCTCCTCAGGTTTCTGACCTCGCTGTGGGTTCACCCTGAGCTTCATTGAGATGTTCAGAAAAAGGCTGCAGTAACTCATTAACGTCACCTCATAAACTGCTCCAGCACGACCTGCGCAAACCGATACTGTATACGTATTCACCACCACCGCCGCTGAGGCGACTGGAGGAGGCAGACTGGGGCTCATGTAGATTCCAAATGCACCCTTAAAAAGATGGTTCTTCATCTGCATGCTAAAATGGTTCTCTGCATGGTGAAATGGTTCTTCAGATTGATGGAGAATGTGTTGTATCTGGTTCTGTATAGCACCAAAAAGGTTGTTAGAGTGCCAAGCTTGTATATCTTTGTAAATTTAAAGGGCAAAATCTCCTCAAAACTATTATAAAACAATGTGTCATCGTGAATTCATAACCATTTCATGTAGTAACTTTCTGTGAGGGAGCTTTTAGAGGTGGACGTCTGGTTCCTATCACCACCACTGTGAACAATTCTGACACGGTAAGTTTATCTAGAACAGAGCGTTTCACACCAAACCACTCTGAACAACTCGGTTTACATCTTAACCGTTTTAATTATGCTGAATTTTTGATAAATTGGTGGAATTTCCCTGTAAGTTCGGTAAGCAGGAGTAAATAGCCGCTACTCTACACCTCAGCAATGTGGAGAAGTGATGTTTGAGTTTCACTGTGACTTTAACAGCTGGTCTTAAGTGTCTCGTATGGTTTGCTGTGTCTTACACAGTGTCAGAGGAAGCTCACGCCTAAACTCCGCCTGTCATACCTTTAAAAAATACCCCTTTAAACAGGCTTTAAATAGACATGAACTAATTGGATAACAGCTGGACGCTGAGGGCTCTCGATGAGGTGTTCATTAGACGGCCTCTGGCAGCTCCTGAGGCTCGAGTGCTCCCTGTGTTGCTAATCTGCTAAGTGCTCGCTATAGCCATGTTTGGCTGTTTTATGGCTGCTGTTTACTGTACGCAGTGAGTCAGTGCGGTTTCACAGTGATGAGCTCTGCAGGAGGATATTAGTGCAGTGAGAGTTTGGAGGTCCTTCATAAACACAGGCCTGTTAGTGCTGCAGGTCGCATCGCTGAGCTTTCAGAGCGCAGCGACAAATACTGAGAATGCCTGACTATATTAAGCAGCCTGCTTCACCAAAACATCCTCCTCTCGCTCCCTCTCTCTCTCTCTCTTGCTCTCTCTCGCTCTCACTCTCTCACTCTCTCTCCCTCCCTCTCTCTCTCTCTCTTGCTCTCTCTCGCTCTCACTCTATCACTCTCTCACTCTCTTTCTCTCTCTCTGTCTCTCACTCTCTCTCTCTCTCTCTCTCTCTCTCGCTCTCTCCCTCCCTCTCTCTCTCTCTCTTGCTCTCTCTCGCTCTCACTCTATCACTCTCTCACTCTCTTTCTCTCTCTCTCTCTCTCTCTCTCTCTCTCTCTCTCTCTCTCTCTCTCGCTCTCTTGCTCTAACTCTCTCACTCTCTCTCCCTCTCTCTCCCTCTCTCTCTCTATCGCTCTCTCTCTCTGCCTTTTTCCTCTCTCTCTCCCTCTCTCAAGGTCAAGTTCAAGTTCAAGTTTGCTTTATTGACATGATAAATTTACATTTGTATTGTCACACAACTAAATGATCTATATATTAAAAGTTAATAAAAAAACAAACAAGAAAATAAATAAATCTAAATACAAACCAGGGTTAATATGATAATGCAACAATTAAGAAGAGAAAGTGTTAATTATCAATAAATAATATAAAAGTATATGTAATAATAAAATAAAACCTATTGAATATGTGTTGTTTATAACAGGGACGAGAAAGAAAAAGTCTCTCTCTCTCTCTCTCTCTCTCTCGCTCTCTCTCTCTCTCTCTCTCTGTCTTTCTCCTCTTTCTCTCTCTCTCTCTCTCTCTCTCTCTGTCTTTCTCCCCCCCCTCTCTCTCTCTCTCTTTCTCCTCTTTCTCTCTCTCTCTCTCTCTCTCTCTCGCTCTCTCTCTCTATTAGAAGGATATTTAGGATGGAGTAGGCAAAGCTAAAGTGCTAATAACTGACCTAAACTAATAACAGACTAAGACTTATAACTTACTTAGACTAATAACTGACCTAGACTAATAACAGACTAAGACTTATAACTTACTTAGACTAATAACTGACCTAAACTAATAATAGACTAAGACTTATAACTTGCTTAGACTAATAACTGACCTAGACTAATAACTGACTTATACTAATAGCTGATCTAGACTAATAACTGACCTATACCAATAACTGGCCCAGACTAATTATTGACCTATACTACTTACTAACTTGTACTATGCACTGACTTATACTAATAACTCATCTAGACTAAAAATGGCCTATACTAATCGCTGACCTAAACTAATATCTGGCCTAGACCAATAACTGACCTAGGCTAAAAACTGACTTATACTAATAGCTGTTCTAGACTAATAACTGACTTCTGTTAATAACTGACCTAGACTAATGACTGACCTAGACCAGTGACTGACCTATACTAATAACTGACCCAGACTAAAAACTGACTTATAACTCATCTAGACTAAAAATGGCCTATACTAATAGCTGACCTAGACTAATAACTGACCTAGACTAAAAACTGACTTATACTAATAGCTGACCTAGACTAATAACTGACTTCTGTTAATAACTGACATAGATCAATGACTGACCTATACTAATAACTGACCCAGACTAAAAACTGACTTATACTAGTAACTCATCTAGACTAAAAATGGCCTATACTAATAGCTGACCTAGACTAATGACTGAAATATACTAATTACTGACCTAAACTAATGACCGATCTATACCTGGCTTAATTAATAACTGATTACATTTATGTGCACAGTGATGATTACACACTGGTCATAATCAGAATCAGCACTGGTACTTTTTCAGTGAGTACAATATCACTTACAATAAATATGTTTTGTCAGTCGTTAAAAACAGTAAAATAACAATGTGAAATAGTTGTAATATTTACAGACTGATGTTTCAACCAGTCAGAAACAGTCAGACACTGCGGGTGCAGCCTATCTGACGACACAGCCACAGCTCCTGTAGGATAAAAACACATTAGTAATCATGCTGGGTAAGATATCTGAGAGGCCTGGGCTTCAGTTATGAAAAATGATCTTAACTCACAATCACAGTGCAGAAAAATCACAATTACATATTTCCATTTAACAGTCCAGCACTAATGTATTTACAGATAAACTCACACATAGCAGCAGATTTAACACCAGTACAGTCATACACGCAGCCCACTCAGACAGCGGTGTAGACCACCGAGGTAACGGTCCAGAAATACTCCCCTCGGTCTGAGGAGCGTAAATCAGTCAGATGGACCCTCACACCATGGCCCCCCGAGATCTCCCACTCTCTCTCTCAGACACTCACATCAACAGTCCAGACCTGCGTCTATAAATATTAAAGCAGGAATATGAGGTTACTGATGCATTCTGCAGCCACCACGGTACCGCACACACCCAACACTCTCACACTCTAGAACACTGTTCCTCACTCGCAGAACCACGGACATTACACTGCAGCTTCAGAGAACTGACTGAATAATTCATAATACTTAATAATTCATAATACTGACTGAATAATTCATAGTAGATACTGAATAATTCATAGTATAAAAACTGAATAATTCATAGTTGATACTGAATATTCATAGTAGATTCTAATTATTTTATAGTAGTAACTGAGTAACTAATAGTAAATACTGAATATTCCGTAGTAAATACTGAATAATTCATAGTAGTTACTGAATAATTCATAGTAGATACTGAATAATTCATAGTATAAAAACTGAATAATTCATAGTATAAAAACTGAATAATTCATAGTTGATACTGAATATTCATAGTAGATTCTAATTATTTTATAGTAGTAACTGAGTAACTCATAGTAAATACTGAATATTCCGTAGTAAATACTGAATAATTCATAGTAGTTACTGAATAATTCATAGTAGATACTGAATAATTCATAGTAGATACTGAAAAATTTATAGTAGACACTGAATATTCATAGTAGATCCTGAATAATTCATAGTAGATACTGAATAATTCATAGTAGATACTGAATAATTTATAGTAGATACTGAATAATTCATAGCAGATACTGAATAATTCATAGTAGATACTGAATAATTTATAGTAGATACTGAATAATTAATAGCAAATACTGAATAATTCATAATGGATACTGAACAATTCATAGTAGATACTGAATAATTGATAGTAGATACTATTGACAGTTTTAATGAGTGAGATGCAGATGGTGAAGATAAACATGGAGAAATCTCCAGCTGAGCTGTATTATAAACAATAAACAACCTCAAACACAAACCCAGTGACAGAGGCTTCCTCAGACTAACTCTATTCAGAGAGTGAAGCAGGACAAATGAAGCCATATTATCCATATTTATTTCATTTTCATCTGAATGTTCGTGCTGGAAGTTAGATCTGAATCCCTCTCGGAGAAACTCTGTTCTCCAGAAGTGAGCGAGAGGAGGTGTTGATTAATTTTTGGCAAATGCGATCAAGACTGTAACCAATTAGCACAGTGAAAGGCATTACTCAGCCTCGAATAACCCCGAGAAACAAAACGCCGCGTTAACCCACAGCTCGACCCACTTGTGCTGCGTCCAGCCTGAGCGAGCGGACTGAGTGTGGGTAAAGAGGGCCGGCCCGGCCCAAATTTAGGCCAAATTTAGCCTGTTCTGGAGACTGATGCTGCTAAACGGACCAAAAGAGAGCGCTGGACCTCAGAGACCTGCAGAGAGGACGGACGAATAAAACTCCCCACGTCTCACATCTAATCCTGCAGGAGAAACAAGCAATTATAGAAATTAAGCTATTATTTTATTCAGTATCTACTATGAAGTATTTAGTATCTGCTATTAATTATTCAGTAATTAATGTAAATTATTCAACATTTTTCCTGATCTACCACACCCTAAACTCTTTATGTTAATTTTGACTTCAAATAACAACTTAACAAATGTAGAACACACATTATTTTTCTGTTCTGTTATTATTAGAAGTTCAGTGAATATAAAAGATGAGTAATCTAGTTTATTTAAGTCAGAAAGTTGCATTTTTTACACTGTACTGATTCTTGAAGAGGGTGACTCAGTCTGAAGGCTGGTTTTTGCAGGAGAATATTAGATCTGAAATACTGATTTACTGATCATTTCTCATATGGACTGGTCTACTGCTCATCACGGTATCTCCATGCCAAATGTGGCCGTTTCTATTAAAGTGGCCATTCAGAAAGCTTGGCCGGCTGCGTCGGACACTGATGTTAACAGAGCTGAATAAGTGTGAGAGTTTGTTCAGAAGCATTTAGCTCACACTCACTGGAGCTGCACGCCTCTCAGCCTGTCCAGACATTTTCATATGTTTTATTAATAAATAACTGTTATGCAACGCAAGCCGGTTCAGCCAGCTTGTGGCGTCATACAGTAGCACGAACGATTTGGTGAAATTCTAATGTTCGCTACATACACTGCCTGCCAAAAGTTTGGGGACACCTCAGATGATCGTGTTTCTTTGTTATTAAATCAAAGCCTTGTCATTTTTATTCAGAAGAAAACGAGATCAGATACAATAAAATAAACATTTATGTGGATTTTCATCACTTTCATTAAAAAGCAACGGTCAGAAAATTAAAACTTCGAGCAAAGTGTCCCCAAACATTTGACCTTTGAAGTCCAGAAGTGTGGTTTACACCTGAGTCTGTGGTTTGAATCTCAGCTGTGCACTTTTCATAGAAGTGAATGCAGTGCGGCTTTATTTTCAGGGCAGAGACACAGTGAGTCACATCCTGAGAGAGAAACTGTACCTGCAGCTCAGAAAGACGCAGCGGAGACTTCAAACAAACCAGACATGACATTCTGACCTCGCAGATAAGTGACCCCCACCTTCACCTCAACTAAACTGGAAGACAAACATAAGTGTAGATATACCACAAATATGCATATAAGAATGAAAACTTAATTACCTTACTGTAAAAACATTACAATATACATCTAATTACTAATTAATGACATTATTGACAATGATATTGTTATTGTTTTGTTGTTAAGCATTTATATCACTTACCTGCAAAACATGATATGTACATAAACTGATGGCATCATTTTAATGATATTAATATTTTGTTATTAGACTGTAGTGTAACTTACCTGCAAAATGCTATAATATGTATATTAATTGATTGCAGCATTATTATTATTATTATTATTATTATTATTATTATTATTTTGGTAGTTGACTATAGTGTTGTTTAGCTGCAAAATATTGTAAAATGTATACTAGAATGGAAAATCACATCATTGTTCATTAATGACAATATTATTATTATTATTAATGATATTAATATTTTTAAACGTCAGGCTATAGAAAATGAGATTTGTTAATTACTGACATCAGTATTAATAATATCAATAATATTTAAGAATTTAGGCAATAGTGTTGCCTGCAGAAAACATACTGTAATGTTTGCTCTTCAGTTCCTTTCGGGCGTTTTTTCACTGCACATTCAAAATCAATAACTGACCCAGATTAGAACCAACAGAACATACAGTTCTAATTCTGGTCTTTTTTGGACATTTTTGCCACTGTAAAGCCTCTAATTTGGCTAATTAGCCACTTTATTTGCTAGTTAGCTTAACTTATTGGCTGATATAAAGATGTACTGCACTGTTCTCCACTCACACTTACAGAGGTACCTACACTATTCAGGTACAGAGACAAACAAAACTTTCATTTTTCTCTGACGAGCATAAAAATATGAGCAAAACATTGGTTTTGTGGAAGCTAGCATCATCAATAACATTAGCATTAGATAGCTAGCTCATGTCTCCTTAGTGAACTCTGTACAATTATTACAATTATACTAAAATAGTGATCAACACATCAACATGCAGCATTCTGACGCTGTTATGGAGATGCAACAGTGATTGTGACTTTATCTTCACCTGGAAAAGAAAAGGATTCGCTGAATTATCGTTAGCTTCAGCTGCAAGTGTTAGCAAAGACATAGGAGCACATCTTGAGTACCATCAGGTCCTGTTGGTAGCAAAAACCATTAAACTGGAACCTTTGGTACTAGATCAACTGGAACCTTTGGTACTAGATCAATGGGCAATAAGGAAAACCAGTTTTCTGGTGCCAAATGTTCTGGTACTTTGCTGGAAGTTAAAAAAAGTGGGAAAATCATTTGTATTGTTAGCGTACTAGCCTAGCAATCCTACCACAACAGCTTAGCTTGAGTGTAGCGGCCTTTTATCTGTATGCAGGAAGAGAAAAAACTGAAATGCTATACAAAATATAAATACAATATTATTATTTTTTTAATTAATAACAAATAATTCCATGATTGAGGTGCCATTTAGCCCATGTAACTTTTTAAACGTTTTTTTTTCTTTAGCCTTTTTCAACTCTGAATCTAAGAAAATATGCAGTTAACTATTCAAAAAATAAGCTATTTCAGGAATAATATTACATTTATTACAGGAGTTATTTACTGATATTGACTAAAATGAATAACAGTGTTGCTTTTTTAGCATAGAACTAGCAAATACATAAAACGTGGTTAACTAGCATTCATGCTGATGGCATGCTATCCTAATGGTTTACTTATTAAATTAACCTTTTAATCAATTGTTTACTTCAAATCTGTAGTCTGGGTAAAATGGTTGTGCTCTGAAAGTGACCTCGTCACTCCGTATCACAGTATTGAAAATAAAGGGAAACAACAAAATTTACTTTTTTCTTTCTGTGCGTTTCAGCTAGTTGAGATGATCAGGATGCTGTTGAAGACGGACTGAACTGAAGCCTTTGTTTCACAACCTTTAATGTACGATTCATTTAAATAAAAGGACATTTGAAGCATGAGATGCCAGACAGATTCACACAATAATGCAAAATAATTGAATTCTGAAATATTTCAGTGATTATATTTGAAGGTAAAGTGTAGTTATGATGTTTTCTAAGTGGTGATTGATTTTTAATGTTCTTTTTTTTTCAGTTATGTAACTGAAAAATGTACCAGATTATTGTGAAGGACACTTAATCTACATTTAAAATGTCTTTTATCTTCACTTCATACTTGACATTTAGTGTTAGCACTGGAGCTATAAAGCTAGTGTAGCTAAAAAGTAATAAAAAGCTTATACCCCACCGATTAGCATGGTGCTAACTGCATGACGTCATGTTTGCTGGGTTCTGGAGCCAGAATGTAACTGGAGGACCATTTAAGGTGGAATGGAGAATTCGCTGTTTCTGTGGAGGGTTTTAAAAGGAGCCGTCCAGTTTCTAAAAGGCTCCTGTCCAGAGTAAATTTCGGGACAAGAGGATGGAATGAGACGAAAACTGAAGATAAATATTTTTGTTAAGAAATTTTTTGTCTTATAAAAGCTCAGCGTGGTCTATCCACATGCCTTTGTTATTAAGTCAATTTTATGCTTTATATAAACTGGAAAACAGTCTGCGTGCCTTCACTGTTATACAAACAAAACCAGCGGACGGCACCTGACACCGTGGGCAATTTCTACCAGCTTTAACTTTCACAGCAGACCAGTCTGAAGAAATAGAAACACCACAGCTACTGACCTCCAGTTACATACCTGTAATAAGAAGAAATATAAAAATAAATACAATAAAATAAATAAAAAAAGCAGTTTACAGTAGTTTAGCCTCACCAGCAACTGCTGTAGGCTGAATCGGTGGGGCTAAACTGCTGTAGGCTGAATGGGGGTAGCTAAACTGCTGTAGACTTTTAGCTCCGCCCATTCAGACTAGAGAAATGTAGCCCCGCCCATTCAGCCTACAGACATTTAGCCCCACTCACTCAGCCTACAGCAGTTTAGCCCCGCCCATTCAGCCTACAGACTTTTAGCTTCACCCATTCAGCCTACAGCAATTTAGCTCCACCCATTTAGCCTACAGACCTTTAGCTCCGCCCATTCAGACTAGAGAAATTTAGCCCCACCTATTTAGCCTACTGCAGTTTAGCCCCACCCATTCAGCTACAGCAGTTTAGCTCCACCCATTCAGCCTACAGCAGTTTAGCTCCACCCATTTAACCTACAGACTTTTAGCCCCGCCCATTCAGAGTAGAGAAATTTAGCCCCACCTATTTATCCTACGGCAGTTTAACCCCACCCACTCAGCCTACAGCAGTTTAGCCCCACCCACTCAGCCTACAGCAGTTTACTCCCGCCCATTCTGCATACAGCAGTTTAGCCCCGCCCATTCTGCATACATCAGTTTAGCCCCGCCCATTCAGCCTACAAGCCTGAACTGCTTTCTGAATGAAGCACAATACAGGGCAGCCAATCAGAACATTTACATATATCAGCATCAAAAGCACAGCACCTACAGGGATAAAGGGATACAGAGAGGTTAGAAAATGTCATGTAAAGTTTAATTGTGGCTGTTTTTGATACATAAACCCACACAAACATCATAAGTGGAAAGAATCAGGTGGATCAGTAAAAACATTAACAATCACTTACACACACAGCACTGCTAGAAACACATTACTGTCCGTTAGACAACGTCCACGTTTATTTTTACAGAGTTAATGTTGTGTAAACATCTTTGGCGTGTAGTGTTAGTGTGAGTGACTGCAGGGCTTCAGTACGCTCTCTCTCTCTCTCTCTCTCTCTCTCTCTCTCTCTCTCTCTCTCTCTCTCTCTCTCAGATCATGACTAAAGGCCTCAATGTGTCCAACTGATCCAGCCGGAAACCAAACAGCTCCGCCCCTTTTTCTCTCCTTCATGGTTTTCTGTCAGCACTTACTTTTGACACTTTCTATTATTTCTGCTGGCGCATCTCACACTGTTCACACAAACTGTCTCAGAGCTCTGCTGGGCTTCTAACCGACCCTGACCACAGGTGGAGCCGAGCCAATTACCACTCTGGGTACAGTATTTCAGCAGGACCTACAGTGATGAACAATGTGTGGAAGCCACTTAGCTGGCTGACTTAAGTAACCTTAACTAACTGTTATTATTTGTTTACCAGTCATAACAAAAACATATTTTAATTATGTAGAAACAAGGAGGTGGTCAGAATGTTATGCCTGATCGGTGTATATATCTCTGTTGTCAGAACAAACCTCATATCTCCAAAATGGTAACTTTACAGGAGAAGGAAAAAATCTACTTTACTTTTAATGTAAGTCAATGGAACCAGACGTTTTTCCAAGTCATTTTAGGCCGTTTGATTCATCATAAAATTTACCCACAATGTAAAGAGCAACAGGCATTTTCAAATTATATCAAAAACTGAGAAACAACAAAAATGGAGGTACAAGGTTTTGTTCCGACAGCAGCGATATATTTATGGACCATTCTACCAAATTAGTTACTGCACTCCCATAGTAAATTAAAACAATTTATATTTATAATAAAACCAAATTGAAATATTTAAATCTTATATATTTAAATGGATTATGTTCTGATCTATTTAAAATGAAGACTTTGATAGAAATAGTAATAAACTAAATATATACAGTCATCATATATAGGGTACTTTCTATTGGGAGGAGTCTGCCCCAAACATTACCTCCTAATTTTACACTTATAAAAGTATTTTTATTTTTTTTTTTATGTTTTTTTTTAAAGATTTTATATTTCTTTTAAAATGAAAACAAAACACGTATACCTTTAGGTTATGGGCGGAGTCTTATTTTAGCCCTTATTTTGTCCCTCATGGCCACATGGTGAGCAGTTAGATCCCATTGTTTTGAAGTAAATGTGTCCCAAAGTCTGAAAATCAGTGTGGAACATTAAGAATCGTCATATTTTCTGCAGTTCAGCACTTTTTAGTGTTTTAATGTAAAATATGATGATTTTCAGAGCTGTGTTTGCTGGTCATGTACTGAGTTTTTGAGCTCAAAATGAACTAAAATTGTCACTGAAACAGTC